CCTTAAATGAGAGTCCAGATGTGGTTGTTTTTCTGAGTTGCAGCACTAACCTGGCCGTAGAGCATGTTCACCTCTCCATACACAGAACTTAAAGCCCTTTCCTGTGAACGCGGCTGTTGTTACCTAAGCTCTGCATGAACTCACCCTCTATATTTAGTTTAGTACATATATAAGTGGAACACCGCAGTGTCCGTTTTGCCATGTGGGCTGTGGTCATTTGGAGGGACAGCAGTTCTGCTTCCAGGTTTTCTCTGGTCCTGCTTTAGATTCAGGTCTGCACGTGCCACAAAAAGAATCTCACAAACTCCTTTCACATGTTTCCGTGCTGCGGCGGCGGGCAGTGAAGGGGTTAACAGTACTCACTCAGCATGCGGGAGCCGTGGTGGGCGGGCGGGCAGGCAGGCAGTGCAGAGGCTGACCTCTGAACCCTCAGGAAAGGAATGTGGAAGCTCTTTCATCCAGGACAGAAACCAAAGACAGCCGGGCACTTTGAGAACGGCGCTTCAATTTTTTTCACTTTCACAGTTTTTTTCGATCAGGGGAAGTTTTTTAAAAAAAGTAGCAGCAGCGTCCATGTGAATGTTTGTGTTTGTCACTGTGATCAGCATCTGCCATTTTGAAAAAGTTTCATCCCGCAGCAGTGTGACCAGTGAGGCTGAAGAGTGATTAGGGGTCGAAATGGCTGCAGTTGCCGTGTTTGTGCAGCAGGAGGAAAAGTCCGGTCATGAGCCACTGGATACGTGTTCTCTGACCTAGAACCAATGACCAGAAGAAGAAATTTGGGGTTAGGTAACAGCAACAAAGTGTGGCATGACAAACTGGACATTATCATTTTTATTATACATCACCAACCATAAAATATTAATTTTTTAGCATAAAAGTTAGCTAAAAGTTAGCTAAAAGTTAGCTAAGAGTTAGCAGGAGGGCACCTAAAGTTAGCCAAAAATATAAATATAAACCAATAGCTTGACCGGCTAAAACATTTTTTTTTAAAGTTAATTATTAGACTTAAGAATTTTGAAAAAAAAAAGCAAAAACATTTTTTTTAAGACAAAGTAGATGAAGATTTTAATAGTAGTTCATTTAGTTAAAAGTTTTTCAAATGGTTAAATCGGGCAAAAAAGGCTCTGTCTTGACTTCACGTGTTGTGATGAGCCGTCGACAAACTCAGGTCTGTAACTTGTGGCTAATTTGAACGATGTGTGGTTTTCCACATGACTCACAAAGGTTGCTACACGCTTCTCCGAAAAACTAGAGAACTCCAGTTTCTTGGAGCTTTTACATCCTCACAGTTGTTACAGTGCACCACAGGAAATATGTGATTTATGTGTACGCAGAATATCACTTATTATTATTGGATCCCTTTCTTTTTATGAGTGACTTTTAAAATGCCCCTGTGGGCCAGGAGGTGGAGCACATTGTCCACAAAATGACTTTTTTTGGGGGGTTGTGACCCCAAAGTGGGTTGTGGGGCTAAACCTGGTGGCCCACAAGTGTAGAGAATACCTTTACTACTAGGTTTATCTGTTCACTCTCTGCTCAACACAGTTGTTTTTTGTTTAAGATGTTGCTTCAAAACTACAGCATGTTTTTCCTTGAAATAAAAAAAGGTTATTCCCGAGCACCTGATCTTTAACCACATAATGGTGTGTGAATATGAGCACAGAACAAAACCGTAGAAAGGTGCTGAAGTAGACAAACGATATTCAACCATCGTTCCTTCTCTGTCTTATTAACCACATAATGGTGTGTGAATATGAGTACAGAACAAAACATTATATTTAAATGAGATTCTCTGAAATGACTATATTCAAGAGGGAAAAATACAGAAAACACTAGTGAAATCAAAGTAGAGAATAGTCAAAGCTTCTTGATGCTTGAAATCCTCCAAAGTGTTTTGGATACCATTGTTGTCTATTCCACAAAAAGTGTGGATTTTTGTATAATATTACAGTTGCATTTTTCTTTTTTTATTATTATTATTTTGTATTTTAAATTCCAGGTTGTTGCTAAAATAAAATACAACAGCAACAACAACAATAATAATAATAATATTTTCTTTGTCTGTCTAATACACTTTTTTGTTGATTTTTAAATAAAAAAAAATTGTTTTTAACCATTCTAAAGCCTACACCATAGGAACTTTAATGGCAAACATTGCACAGGACTGTAGTTCTCTGCTGCAGTTGGTCTAAACAGTTAATCATGGAAAGTTTGAATGAATATGATCATCTATAAAACCTAAATATGTCTTTACTAGTGAAAAATGTTGTCTAAAAATACCAGTAAACACTCGTCGTACAGCCGTACAGACAGAGTATTTGTCCCTGCTGTCAGGTCACTGTTTGACTGTGGATGTGAAGACGGTGGTCGTCTCCTGCGTTAGGGCAGAGTCACACTGAAACTGATGGGTTTATTGTCAAAAACACAGCAGTAGGAACAGAGTGAGTTGACCACAGTGAACTACAGTCAGGTCTGAAGTCAAAAAGACACATGGTATCATGATGATTGATAGTTTATGGCCACGGTTGCCAGGTTAGTGCATTTGAAGTTCTGGGGCTTTGGAAAAAAAAGGGTTTTTCCACGTTACTGGATGTGGATTTAGGAAGATTCAGTCATAGTTGGTCTCATACCGCCTGTTGGATGGAACGGTTCCTCGGTGTGTACTGTGTTGGTTGCGGCCCACACGGCACAGAGAGGCAGAAGGCGAACGAGACACGATTCAGGCCAGGAATGTGCAATGTGGGGAGGCTGTACAATAGAGGGTGGTCAATGGTACGGCTGAAAGTCCCCGCCCCCTCCAAACCCACCCCGCTGGGTGATGACCATCAAACTGGACTGTCGGTGACAGCAGTACTGAACCAACACCAACAAAAACACATGTCAAATATAATAAGAACACTGACTCCATGTCTTTTACTTTACTAAACTCAGTGTCATATTTACTGCATATTCTGCACAGTTTTTATCCGTTGTGGTTAATTGAGGCAAATTTGGTTTGGGAATTTGAACTATACAAATAAACTTGATTGCGGGACTTGACTTAATAATAATTAACTACATGTATTTTAGTAAATAACTAGTCAATTATTTGATGAAGTATTCTAGTCACTGGCCTATATATTTTTTTCAATACGTAAAAAAATATTTCAATATCAGAGTGAATTATTTACATGACAATTTATGTTTTATTATGAAATGCTAAAGCTAGTTTTTGGCTAACTTTTGATTATTTTAAGTCTTTGTTTATTAAATATTATTGATTACATTCGGTTAGTTGAAGTTATTTATTAAAATTATTTTAGTTTTATACAGACTCACTTCTTTTTTATTATTTCTACTATTGTTGATATTTTGAAGCCATTTCTTGGACATAGATTATCTTATTTTGAAAAGGTTTCGTTTTGTTTCCTCCGATGTTCACCATGGTGTCTTTTCGGGACGGTTTTCAAAAAAAAAATTTTTTTTATATTTTTATATATTTTTTATTTCTTTAAAAAGGTAGATCATTTTCTGTTTTCTTCAGGTCTTATTTTTCCTGTTTTAACTTTAAAATTTCCCGTGTTCTTTCATCTTTTGTCCAACATTTGTGTGTTTGTCCAGTTGAAGGTGTTCCACCATGATCTAACGTTAGCGTTGAAACCAGTGCTTGAGCGGAGCTGTTCTATACATCTCAAGTCTAATCCAAACACAATGTCACCCCTAAAACTGTTCATCACACAGCGTTTCGTCAGCCACACGTAACAACATGTGAGTGCATGTGTTCACACCCACGGCGTGCAAACAACTAAAAAAAAAACAATTAAGACACATCTGCAAAACGAGCAAAGCAGATTCTCGCATATTTGCCGACCTTCTTAACTCGCTGACCCCTCACTCGGACCGGATGCCATTGCATTTGGAACTGTGTGTGTGTGTGACATAGGCCCACATGTGTTTACGCTGATCATTTCACGTGACCTGCACTCAGAACACGGCTGACACTGCGCCCAGCGCTGTGTCCGCTCAACCTTGGACTTAGCCGGGGTGTTAAGTGAGCAGAGGTTGTCGGGGTCAGTGAGGGTAAATAAGGGAATGCAGGGAGATGATAGTAGAGGAGAGAGAGAGAGAGAGAGAGAGAGAGAGAGTCAGTTCAGCCAGGTCTCTCTGTGAAACTCAAGTTAGCAGCAGGTTGTGGTTTGTTTTAATAAACAACTGCAGGTCATCGGGTTCTCCGGCTGCACTCTTCAGTTTGTGTCTTTGCGGTTTGCGACAGTTCCTGCAGCTGTTGTCAGGATTCGGTTGAGTTCACAGTGACAGGTAGCTCTGGTTCATGGCACACTGTTTGCGTCACACTTCTCTCACTCTGCTTTACTTCCCTCAGGGTGGTGTTTGTGTGCTGCCTCAGGACTTACAGCAGCCTCATTCACATTCACGTTAACATCCACACACACACACACACACATGTGCACAGAGCTGTGTGTGTGTGTGTGATGACAGTGATAGTCTTCATCTTAGCCTGTACAAACAGGAGTGCCGTGCTCTGCCTGTGAAAATTATGTTTGACTAATGTTTTCTGTTCCTGTCACGACCGGCTGGTTTGTCTACAGTGCCCCCTAGCGAGCCTACAGGCAACCTGTTCATGGTGGTTCAAGTCAAGTCAAGTGCTTTTCTTACCACAGGAGTTTTACATTTTCTTAAACTTGTTTTCTTACAGCGCAAGAACAAACTTGTTACATTAAAAGTGAAAAGAAGAATGGAGTCATTTTTTATATTTTGACGTTCGCATATTGCTGTTATGTTTCTTTACGTCTGCTGAAGTTGGTTGGTCAGTTTTTGAAAGCATTGACCGTTTCTGAATATTCCAAAGAAAACAATTTCCTAATTCCTTCCCATTTCATTTGATTTTTTTTTTTCTTAGCGCAAAGCAATTTGTCCATATTTTCTGGTTGATATTGATATTTTTCAGGTTGATATTTGGTTTTTAATTGTTGTTTTTTTTGTTTCCCCTCTGCTCACAGGACAGTAAAGATGCAGAAAAGTATTTCCTACTCACCCCCATCCGTAGCTGTTGGGACTGGGTGAGGAGAGGAGAGCCTAGGAGAGAAGGAGAGAGGACGTGAGGATCGTGTGGAGACTTTTTTCAGAGGTAAACAATCACAGCTCCAAATTATCGTCAGTGTTTTCAAGTGGAGACGGTGCCAGAGTTTGTATCTCTCTCTGTTTCTCCGTAGATTTTGGTTTGCTTCATTCCTACTGCTGCCTTTCTTCCAAAAACAAACAACTGTGCAACTTCCCACACTGGGCCTGCAGGGCGGGGAAGCCACACGTGAGTTTTCATGGCAACGGCACTCTAGGGCTGCCATGGCAGCTGCTGCCGCTGATGCCTCACACCGAATCACTGCACTGAAGCTGGAGGAAGAGGGAAGACGGACTACGGCCAGGCTGTTTGGGAGCGCTGTCCCGCTGCCAAGGACAGAGAAAGAGGGAGAGAGGGGGAAAGAGAGAGAGAAGGAGAGGGAAGGCCAGGGCGAAGAGGTCGGGAGAGGGGGCGCTAGTGAGTGTTTGGTGTGCGGCGCTCTGTTCGCCTCACAGGAGAAGCTTCGTATCCACACTCTGAGTCACACGGGAGAGAAACCCTTCCACTGTTCACACCCACACTGTCCCAAGGCCTTCAGCTCAAAATACAAGCTCTTCAGGTAGAAAACATTCCACTCCATTGAAAACAATCATTCAAAAATCACGTATTATTTCAGGTGACCCCATTTGACCCCACATTGGGTTGTGACCCGAAGGTTGAAAAACACTTATATATAATGTGTTTTTACACTTTGATCATAGGTCTATTTTGATGGTATTTTCATGGTAAATTTTAAAACTTTGTTTCTTTTATTAATTGTCTCCAAACCAAGGTTGGGTCTCTTAAAACTCACTCACGCAAATTACCCCAAGTCTAACTGTTAAAGAAGCAGCAGCTCTGAATGAAATACATTGAAGGTCTGCTTTACATAAGACGCTAATGACAAAAGAGTCGTAAGTGTAAAAATTTAAATTCTTCAAAAATGTTCTTGAGTTTCTACTTTTCTGTTGTCCCAGGAAACGTTTCGACTCATTCTGACTCCTCCACTAATCTCAGTCTTCCTCCACTTCTGTGCAGGCATATGGCCACACACTCTCCACAGAAGACCCATCAGTGCTCGTTCTGTGAGAAGATGTTTCACCGCAAAGACCACCTGAAAAACCACCTGCAGACTCATGACCCCAACAAGGAGGCCTTCAAGTGTGAGGAGTGTGGAAAGCACTACAACACCAAGCTGGGATATAAGCGCCACATGGCCATGCATTCTGCCACAGCCGGGGATCTGACCTGTAAAGTGTGCATGCAGAGCTACGAGAGTACGCCCGTTCTCCTGGAGCACCTCAAGAGCCACTCCGGGAAATCGTCAGGCGGTGCCAAGGAGAAGAAGCACCCGTGTGACCACTGCGATCGCCGCTTCTACACCAGGAAGGACGTGAGGAGACACATGGTGGTCCACACGGGTCGCAAGGACTTCCTGTGCCAGTACTGCGCCCAGCGCTTCGGCAGAAAGGATCACCTCACGCGTCACGTGAAAAAGAGCCACTCGCAGGAGCTGCTGAAGATCAAGACGGAGCCTCCGGACATGTTGGGTCTTCTAGCTTCAGGATCACCACCGTGCTCTGTGAAGGAGGAGCTGAGCCCCATGATGTGTGGCATGGGTCCCAATAAGGATCCTATGATGGGTAAACCTTTCCCCAGCGCAGCTCCATTTCCAATGGGCATGTACAACCCCCACCATCTTCAGGCCATGTCTAACTCCGGGGTTAGTCATCCACACCCGTCCCTGATGCCCAGCCCCCTGTCTGCAGCCATGGGCATGGGATGTCACATGGAATCTCCCGGGCCTCTTCACCCACACTCCCATCACCATCACCATCATCACCACCATCACCACCATCACCATTCCCCTCCGCTGCCCACCCACCACCAACCCCAGGCCCCCCAGCAGCAGCCCCAACCCCAGCCTGCCGCCAAATACCAGCTGGGATCTACCTCATACCTGCTGGACAAGCCCTTGAAAGTGGAGATGGAGAGCTTCCTCATGGATCTGCAGAGTGGTTTGCCAGGGCCGCTCCCCTCTGCGGAGCCCCACGCTGCTGCCTCGCCCCCTAAAGACGGACTGGAGCCCACCTCGGGCCTTACAGACGAGCTTTGTGGGGACCCCCTCCTGTCCAAGAGCCCTGCGGTAATCGCTGAGTCTTTGTGTGCTGCTAACATGGACTTCTCCCACCTGCTGGGGTTCCTGCCCCTCAACCTGCCCCCCTACAGTGCCCCCATGAGTACTGGAGGCCTAGTGATGGGCTACACCTCATCTGCGACCACGTCTTCATCCTCTTCCTCTTCCTCGTCATCTCTTCACGCTGCCGAACCCCACGCCGCGACAGTCGCAGGGGCGGCAGCCGCTGTCGCAACGGTACCTCTTACCTCTTTGCAACCGCAACCTCAGGAGCAGCAGAGCTCCAGTGGGGGTCTAGGTCTCGGACCCTTGCACCCACTCCCCCAAGTGTTCAGCTCCAGCCTTAGTACCACCACACTGCCTCGCTTCCACCAGGCCTTTCAATGAAGGAGAAGGTGTAAAAAGCCCAGCCCCGCCTGGGTAGAGATGGTCTCCACACCTGCCTTAGCTCAGCTCAGCTCAGCCAGGGTTTATCGGGCTAACCCTGTTCACAGAGCCCAATCAAAAAGTGGGAGAATTAGAATATCACAATGAACACTTAGAAAGCCTTAAATGGAAGCGCACAAAAGCTTTTGATTGAGCCTTGAAAGGAAGTTCAAATGCCTTTAAGCTGCCTTGAAAAGAAAAGAAAAGAAGAAAAGAAGATGAAGCAGCTTTTATTTGGGCTTTTACCCCTATCCCATAGTTAGAAAAATATATTAACCCCCCCTACCTTTTTTTTCTCTTTTTAAAATACCATTTACCTTCCTATTTATCCCAAATCCACCTCTTATTTAGTAGTATAGAGGGCAGGATCAGTAGGCCAAAAGGCATGGTACTGCATATCTTGTTATGTAATAATTGAGAAGAGAAGCTACAGACAATTTTTTTAATAAATTGTCCCGTCTTGTTGTGACCCATGAAAAAAAAAATATAGCTTGAAGTGGATACTTTTGTTTTTACTTAAATTTTCTTATCGAAATATAAGAACGCGGTAAAATGTGCATCATCTTGAGTTTGGAAACAGCCACGCTAAAAATCTGAAATGTCGCTAGTTCTGCAGAGAGATTCTAAAAAAAAAAAGAAAAAAGAATGAAGACACGGCAACGTCTAAATTGAGCTCTAAAATCCTCCTTCAGGTCGGAGCCAAAAGAAGTGCTCTTCAAACAGCCAAAAAGATCAATCTGATGAAAGTCCCCGTGATTTCCTGACACGCTCCTAGAGCTGAGTCGGTTTCAGTGGGAACACAGTAGTTCACCAAATCACACACAACGACTTTGTCCTCCGTCACTCACACTCGTAGACCGCACGCACATTTGTTTGAAAGAGAGCAAAAGAGAAAGAATGAAATGTGAAATGGTGTGAGTCGGTTGACAACGTCCTATCATCATGCTGGCTTTTTAGTTTGAATTTGAATTTTTTTTTTAATGTTTCCTCAAGAGAAGCACTTTTTTTTCTAGCAGAAGGCACTTCATCTTCAGAAAGTCTCTTTGGAAAACCTCTTCCTCATGACCTCTAAAGGTTTCCCATGTCTGAGACCTGGATTTTCTCCTCTAAAATACCCAGAATCCTCCTGGTTTCCCCTCCCCTTGTTTCACTTTGTCCCCAAACAGTTTCCTCAAAAACAAGTTCTCATAAAAACGACCACATTTTGCTGCCTGACGTCTCTAGAACACAGGCTCTACTTTATCAAATACTGTAACATCCAACTGCAGCCGTTCCCCCTCGAACCTCCCCTGCCCCCCCCACCCCCCATAGTTTTAGAGGTGCGTCGTCATTGTAATGGTGAACCCTGACATATGTGAAAGAGCAAAAAAAATTACAGTGACAGATAAGGAAAAAAAACAATGTGTTACAGAATGTTATTGCAGTGTACGAAAAATATCTCAGAAATGATATTATAATTGCTTTTATCTCAGTAAGGTGTATTTTAGGTAGATGTATGAAAAACTAAGTGATATTGTTTTTTTTTTTCATGTCTGGCAGGTTTACATTTGTGTATATCTTGCATTTTCTTTTTTTGTTTTGATCAAATGGATGAAGTATTAGCTTTTCCCTGAAGCTTTTTTTTTTTTTTTAAATCGGTCATATCCAACCTTTACCTTTACGTGTACTGGAGTTAGTATAGTGGGATCAGAACTGTGGATGGAAAAAAATATCTAGAGGGTTGTTAGTGGCTAAATAATCTGGTAGGATTTGAACTATAGGTAGATTGTGTCACGGTGACACAGATGGACTATGAATTGACGAGTGTTGGTCTTTGTCTGGTAAATATGTGCTGTGAGGAAATCCCACGTTTTCCCTGAAGCGCTCAGTGGTTTGGGAGGTTTTTTTTTTTAAATTTTTTTTTTAATTTTTTGGAGCAGTTTCCAACTCCGCCACCAGTCTATTCAATTCAGAGCCCAAATTGAAAACCCTAGTGAGATCTGGGTGATCCTGATCTAGTGTTCCATCTGTGGCATGGCCAAGTCATGTGGTATATAAGAAACTGACGTAGCCATGTGTTTAGCCCAGGGGTCACCGACCTTTCTGACACTGAGAGCTACATACAACAGCAGACACTCGTCTTACAATAGTCATTGACCATTTGAATATCATTGCTAGTGTAACTGATTCAAAAAGCACAGTAACAGTACAACTTTTGACCCTCTTGTTGACTAGTTTGACTTTTAGAACATACCCCACAGGTACCTTAGGGAGTCCATGTGGCCAGGTGGCCCCGGGCATCACGTTGGTGACCCCTGGTTTAGAGAGTCCAAGATCAACAACAACGACTGGTTCTGTTACATCTTAGGGAAAATGAGAAAGAAGAGTACATGACAGACGTGAAGTATTTGTTTGAATACAGTTTGATGTCTAGTTGTCAGAAACCACCATTTATCCATGACTTTTACAGAACTCGTCCACTGACGAGTCACTGTTTGACATACATGCGGACAGAAAACGTCCTCTTTTTTCACTAACGCTCATACAGCACCAGTATTCACTAATACAACTTTAGACCTAGGCTAATTTATCAGTCGACTACACCTGGATTTTCCAAACTTTTTTCCCCAGTTTTTGGAAAAAACACTGGGATAAAAGGATTTAATGGCTACATCCGTTTCTTATATTTGGTCCACGATAATTTTAAATGTCAGCCTCGAATGTCAAATGTCGGTGCAGTCATTGCAGAAGGTCAGATTTTGCGCTCTACACACACACACACACACACAAAAAAAAACTAAACTAACTTAACTTAACTTTTGCTGCTTTTAGCCACAGTTGCTGATGGACGAGGACTGTAGACCACTAGAACAATTCAAGAGTTTTTCTTTTTTTTCCCCAACAAGCTGGACATAGAGCTGAAAATGTGCTCATGCAGAACCGACACAGTGTTCATCCATAAGCCCCCACTCTCCCCAGCCTCCCCAACTCCAACTCATTTCCCCCGATTTCTCCCCCACTCCCTCTTTTCTCAGCTGCTTTATAGAGTCAAAGGAAAAGGGTCTAAATAAAAAGAAAAAAAAGGCGATATCTGGAAAAAATAAATAAAAGCAGTCACTGAGTTTCCCAGGCTTTGACATTCAAAACACAGGGAAACACGACTGACTCTAAGACTTGAGCTATCGCCTCATAGACATGTAATTGTTTTTTTTTTTGTTCGTTTGTTTTGTTGTCATATGATATATTATTTTCTGTTTGTATAAAACAGGACCTCAAAAAAAAAAACAAAAAAAAACAACACAACACATCACCTCATTTTAATGTTTTGTTTTCTTACCAAAACCTGGGGAGAAGAAACTCATATTTTTGCACATTTGCTTGTTACAGAATGCTATGAGTGGGATCAGATTTGTATACTGTAGGATTTAATCCCCCCTCCCTCCCAATCTCCACCCACACCCCGCCCAAACCCCCCCCCCAGATGACAGCTCCTGTAGATTAGACAGGAAGTCCCTCCCCTTTGAAAGGGAGGAGCAGCTGAAAACTCAGTGAATCACAGTGAGCGCTGATGTTAAAGCTGACTAAAACCCACCCCCACAGTCTGACTGTTGAACCAGACCTTTATCTTTGCTGAAATCCTAGATTTTATCTTCCAAGTTCTGAACTAATTTGAAATCTAAACTCGAACCTAACCCCTTCCCGGAGAGTCATTATTTTAAAAATGACCCTCGTGAAACGATCAAACTCATCATTGATCTTAAAAAAATTAGCTGTCGGCACCTTTCTGATAACGACTTAATAAAAATTGGATCTAATCTGATCAAAATTTGATCTTTACGGAGAGCCTAAAAAAATGATACTTAAAGATTAACCTTCCTGGCTAGAGCCAGATTTGTAGCAATCAAATAAACATTTATATTTTTGTAACAAAAATGAATTTAGTCCTTTAAAGAGAAAAAAAAAAGAGTAAAGGAAAAGTGTTTTGGCATGTGTAAAGTTTGTCCTCCCTGGGTTTCTGTGAGCTAATCTGAATTCTAGCACTTTCAACCTTTAAGGAAAAGAGTATTTTTTTTCTTTTTAAAATTCAGCTTATATGTTCATATGTTTTTTATTTTGTATTGATCCTGTACAAGTATGTGCCATTAGTTTGATGTGTAGACTTTATCAACCTCTGTGTATTTTCTCTTTCTCCAAAAGAATAACAGTATTTTTGATAGACCTCTCACTAATATCCTCCCACATTAACTCCCTTCGATCCCTTCCAGTCCTATAAAACTATTTTATTTTTATTTTTTTCTCTTGGTAACCAGCTTTGCTTTCTTTCTCGTGAAATGTATCTAATCAAACTCTGCAGCCGAGTGTCTGAAAAAAGCTGAGGCGACACATCTGTCAGTGTGACAGTGTGGACGTCAGGGTGGTGTAGCCACAACCGCGAGCTGCCACTGAACCTAAACAAACCCTTGAGAATAGAAACGCTTCTTGGAAAATGCTAGAAAAATCCAAGCACAAAAGCGGAGTGCCTCTGAGGGAATGGGATGGTCATGTTTTCCTTAAAACATGCAAACGAGAATAAGCGTCAACCATCTTCACAGAAGAACAATTCAAAACTGGGTGCAAAAATCTGATGGGAAGTGTCTTCACTGATTTGGACCTGGTGGGAGATTAGTAATAAGTCCATTTTTATTCCCCTCTTGTTTCCCTGCAATTACAAGTATATTTGAAATATGAATGAAATATAATTTGACAAAACATCATGAACATGAAGTGTTTGGGAACGGGCCGGATTGAACCCCCAAGGGGCCGATTTTGGCCTGCGCGCCGTATGTTTGACACCCCTGCCCTAAACCCTTTAAAATAGGTATTAGATTAATGGATGGACACCACTAAAAGATTAAATTAAGGAATTTTAATTGGATGACTGTGACGGACTTATTACTTTGGATATTTTTCAGAGTTTGATGATTTTAATGACCAAGTTTTTTCTACTTGTTTGGTCTTGATATTCTCTTCCTCTGTGATGTTAAACTCTCCGCCCTGAGGCTTACAGCTGAAATGCCTCGGTGTTTGTACCGTAGAGTCAAACGTGACCATGCCATCCTCCATTTAGGCATTTTAACTATTTTGAAAGAGAGGAAATCAAAGTTTCCTTCTTTTTCAATTCACCACATTTCTTAGTAAACATGCAGAAATGTGTGACCCCAACGTTAAAGCACTTAAAGGACACAGTCGTTGTCAGTGGGTCAGCTCTGTTTGCTACATCTCGCTGTGGGGTTTCTAATTCCGCTAACACCGACAGTTTCGGATTCCTTTTTGTTAACTAATTTAAAAAAATAAATAAAAAATGTAATTAAAAAAAACTACTGAATTAGAAAGACAACTTTGTTTCATATTTGATAGATTTTTGACAAAAAAAACCAAAACAAAAACAAACAATTTGGCTAGTTTGTCTTAATACAAGCTACTTAGAAATATATTTAAAAAAATGCTAAGAAATATAATTTGATTTATCCAAAATTTCACTTCTTATTTCCTGTCAAATGTTTAGGAAAAAAAACAAAAACAAATTCACACCCCCTGAATAATCCCACACAAAGCTGACATCAGATCAGTGCACCACAGACATGAACAGATGCTCGGCTGCAGAACCATTACCTCGACCTGCACCTACTAGGGATGCACTTATCCTCACCCTCTCCTCTTTACTAGTAGGTGCAGAAAAATTAAGAAATTAAGGGAATTTATTCATCAGTTTAAACTTGGAAAGAACTGATTTGATCTGAATAAAACTCTCTCACTCTTTTTCTGTTTTTTTTTTTTTTTTTTTGCTCTTAGTTAAAAGAAACCTGGGTACTGTCTGCTAGACAACATCCACATGTAGTCTATGTATTTCTAGCCAAGTGTTGCATTCCAACCTCTTTGTGTATCTCCTTAAGTGACGTAGCCCTTTTATTTTTATCACCTGCTATAAACAGCCACGTCTGCAATTAAGAAAAAAAAGGTGAAAAATAGAGTATTTTCATTCACATACACTATTTTATATAGCATGGAGTTTTTGTCAACTACAGGGAGAATTATTTGAAACAATAATGTGCTTCAGAGAAAATGAGAAAGAAATAAAGGAAACGGGAAGTTTTTTTTTTTTTGTTACATATCTCACATGCAATCAGTTGCTGCGATGTAAAGGTGACAGATTTGTATATTGGTTGATCCAAAGAGATGATGAACACAACAACAGAACTATTGACTTATTGTACAGTACAGTGTATCTTTGAGTTGTCATGTGTTATGTTGAAATGATTAAAAGGCAAACCAGCGGTTTCATATCCACTTTGCATTTCTTTAAATTCTCCGACACAAAAATTGTCTCTTGTAAGAAAGAGGGAATTGCTAATTAGCACACATGTAGCCAAAATAAATTCGTCAAAGGTAAAGGTTGGGAAAATGAACAACAAAAATTCAAATTAGCCACTGCTACAAGAAACAGCTAGCCTCATAAGCAAAATTAAAAAATGTAAAAAATGATAGCATTTATATATGGCCAAAGCATAATCAAAAATAAAAGAAATCTGTCCGAAGCCAATGACAGGCGACAACATATTTTGCTACAGGAGCTCAAACGTAGCTAAAACAACTAGCATTCAGGCTAATGTAAAAGGCTAGCCAAACTTGATGTAGCTATTGTTCAGAAACAACGTTTTAGTAGCTAAATGTTAAGGAATAAACTGTTAAACGTTTCTTTCCCCAAAATGTTTCCCTCAGAATTAAATATATAAATATATATATATATAAATATATATATATAAATATATATATATATATATATATATATA